TTAAAGTATAATCATAATAATATAAACGCAAAAGGGAAATTTCTTTTTTTCTATAAAATGAATATATTAGAAAGAACGAACTAACTCTAACAACGATCGCCTTGTCGCTTTGCATAATTGATGAGCGAACGTACATTTAGAAATTGTATGCGTTTAGCTTTTGAATTGGACAGCGAACGCATCACACAATACGTTTTTATTTACAAGTAAAAAGCGAAAGTTATGAATGCTTTTAAGGAAATTGAAATTTCTTTTAAGTGAAAACTTTAATGAATTGAAAGAATATATATATATATATATATATCATTCCATAGCAAATTGAAAGAAGTTCCAATATGAAGACTCATTAGAATTAATTGCCGACGAAATCAAAGGCATAATGTAGCGTTCAGTGCTAAGAAATGAACTCAAAAAAAAACTTCTCAATAAAAGTAGGATATGAAGAAAGATGGAATGTATTCACACTCAATTTATTACAGTAACATACTTAGTAAGCATAGAGATGAAATCCTAATAAATCATTGTGTTGACAGCTAAGAGAATTTCTGAGTGAAACTACTAGTATTTGTCATGGGATCGATCTACATATAAGTCCATTATAATCGCTCAGTTGTAACTTCGAATAAGTAGCTTATCTTGACCTTAAAATTTGTAGAAATATTTGCTAAGACTTCCGAAAAAACAAATAATGTTAAAGCACTTCTCATCAGCAAACTCTCATTGGATCAGCGTTCCATTTAGCCTAGTAGGTAAGAAACGCAATTATCAAGACGGCAAACTCAGGCGGTTGATAGCATAAGATTGGCGCATAAACGCAGCTAAAGTAGAGACTCTTACGCTACGCTAAAGCTCTTACGGAAAAGGCAACAATCATTTTCTTTCCTTAGCCCGCCAGTGACACTGCGAAGCAGTTCAGACAAAATAATACTTTGAGGTCATAAACATTACATTAAGAAAGAAGAATGGACATGTATAGCTTAACACGCTCCCTGATTCAACCTGTTCAAGAATCGGTTCAAATTCTGCTTCTGTAAGTGGATACGCTTCAAACATTGCGCCCCATCCAGGTGCAAATGGTCTTAAAACCTCTTAAGCTACATTTACAAAAATGTATTAAGGAACTTCAAGGCGCTCGAGGATCTTTCAAGCATATAGGATAAGCGTAATTCGATTCTATTAATAGTGATTATTCGTCTGAAGGTTGAAAGTTATTGTTAAAAAAAAAAAAAAATAACTAAAAAAAATGAATCAAATTTAAATGGAATTTAAAATTATATCATAATGTCTGGCTGAGTGTTAGTCTAATGCGTTTTATAAAGTTTGATAATTAAAAGTTTTCTCCTGCATGAGCATTTTTCAAAAAATTTAGTTCAGTTTCCTTGAATAAATTAGTTTTTGTTGTTATGTTTATATACAAAAGCTTTTCCTTTTTGGATTTTTTTTTTTTTTTTTTTTCTATTTATAATCCAATTGAAGGCATTGTCAAGCCATGAAAAAGATTGGAAATAAAGTGATTTTTAAAAATTTATGTAATGTGCACATAGTACGTAGGTCAATAATTTCCGGTACACAAAGGCGACACATATATGACGTCCCTAACTATCATTATTCATTTCGATCGTTTTTTTACAACTTATAGCGATTTTAATAACATTAGCTTTGTTATATTCAACGGAATGAAAAAAATCTGAATTTCGTGGTCTAATCAACTTTTCCAGATCTCTTATGGGAAAAGAATTATCGTTCAAACTTAGCATTGGCTTGAAAAGTATTAAATCACTTCTTCTCTGTCGAAAAGAACAACTTGTTTACAGTTTACTGATCGGAAATGAGATCATACGGACATGGATGATGCTGAACGTGGTAGATACCCTAAAAAATTTCAACAGAAATCCTAAAAACCAAAAAAAAAAAAACAAGAAAGATAAGTTCTCAGGAGAAAGCTGATATCCTAAAGACATCAAGAGTCCATGGGAAGTAAGGCCACGAAGATTGGGGTACGAGAAAGCTGTTATCAAACTGTGTACAGACTTTACTGCGCATGAATTGAGGTTCGAGTTACTGTCTCCTCCAGACCTAACCCCCTTAGCGACTGCTGTCTATTTGCAAATCTGAAAACAATTTCCAAAGGAAGAAGAAATTTAAATCAAACAATTTTTGGTCGTTGGGGGAACTCAAGCTTACTTTGACGATCTATTAACAGGTCATCGTCACTTTGCAGAAACGCGCTAAAGTCATATTTTGCCGAAAAGTTTTTGTCCTTACTTTGTCCTGGGAATTATTGATCAACGTATTATATGTACGCTGATCAATATTTTTGTTTAGCCTTACTTCCGGTGTGGTAAGCAGATTTTTTTTTTGTTTTAAATATATGTAGTCGCCTGTGTTTGTAGCTTTATACACCAAAAATGTGTAATTTTCCATGGTCAGCATTTACATTCAATTGAAACTATAATCACCGGTGGTAGAAGTATGTATATATGTATGTGTGTGTGTGTCTATGTGTGCGAGCTTTTTTATATTTATTTTACTATAAGGAAGAATTGCTAGATAAACTTGTTTTATATGCATTTATGCTTTCAAATTTATTATTACATAAATGTATGTAAATGTACGTATGTATGTAAAAATAAAAATATATTTGTTAAATAAAAAATTTACTAAACTATCTGTATATGAAAGGTTTTCTTTCTAAATTATGTCTTTATTACTTTTGCAATAACTTGATTGAGTTTTAAGCAATTTTCACCCTCTAACCATTCATGTCAATGTCTATATTAAAAAATTCATCTACTTCTTTATATAAATAAATGCAAAATTGTAATTATTATTTTTTAAGATTTTTCTCTCTTACCCCACCCATGAGATAGATCCCTTCCCCTTAGTTTTATGAAAATTCTTAGCAATTATTGCTTCTCTGCTGGATATACATACATAAAATTGCTTTTACTACTTACTCAACCTTTTATTAACGATGCTGTCATTTTTTGTTTTTTGTTTTTTTTTTTTTACCTCTATTAGCATTCATTTACCTGTTTTACTTTACTTTTGGCTGCTCTTTAAGCAAAAAAAAGAACAAAAACAGTTAAATTTGAAAAGATGTTTTCTTAAGGCCAAAGTAACACATTATTGCTTTAATTACAATTACGTCCACAAATTGTTGTAATTATAATACGAGAAAAAAAACTTAAAAAAAACAAGTGAACATTTTACAACGAATGTCCAACATTCTAATTTACTTATAAATTACGACTGCTTCAGCACGTCTGTTTCGACCCTATCTGGGCTGCTTTCATATCCGTCATAGATGTTATATTGGATTCACTGAATGTAAGTAATGCTAAGAGATATTGAATTCAAGTTATTAGTGTCGAGAATGAAGGCAAGTAAATCACGTTTGTCTATCGCAGCCTCCAAGCTGAAAGCTTACTTACTTCCGTCAAGTTAGTTTTGCAATTCAGATAACGAGACGGTTTTTTTTTTTTTGTTTTTTCCTTAATAGATGCTTTGGATATTCTAGAATACTTGGGAAAAAATTCGTTACTCGCAAATAATTTGTTCCTTGAAACTGTTGAGGTATCTGTCAAGCGCTACGACAAGAATACTAAATGAATTGCAGCGTTCAATGTCTTGCCTTCGACTGTTATCTCCTCTAATCCGCTAACGCTAATTTCCAAAAAAAATGTGTTAGTATAGCTATGAAGCTGAGAGCGATTCTGAAGCTTTCAACGTTCCTCCAATGCTAAATAAACAGTTTGGAATCAAGTCTTTTTAAATTTGTTATGGTTTCGGCTATACATCTATCTACTTCTCTAGACATAAGGCTCCAGATTAAATGTCTTTTTTTGAACAAGTTATGCCGGGTGTCGCAAAGCCCCCTTAATGCTTTAACGCACGCTTAATAATCTCCTCATATGTTATATATTCTACTACCTTTACTTCTTCTTCCCAAAAAAGTTGTCAAAATATTCGGTAATTGGTTTACATAAAAAAAGATGCAGTGTAGGTGGTATATGCAATACAAATGTAAGGTACAAATATAGGAAACTTCAACACGACTTTCGAATTTTTTCGTTGCTTCACAAAAAACGAAACTAGCTTCGCTAAAACAACTGTAATTTGTAAACTAATGGTTGAAATGTCATCAAAACTTGGCATATTTCGTTTGAAAGTAGGTTCTGTTTAAAAATCATTCAAAACCCTTACGCTTTTTGGTATTTCGATAGGTAAAAATATAGCCATTGGCGATTTGGGCAAACATTCACTAAACTGTGGCCACTCACTATCTCTTTCTCTTTTTCATCCCTTCTTTCTGACTGGCTACACATATAGGCGATATCCCTAAGGCTAATTAGACAGTTACTTATAAGGCACTAACAAATCGTATAAAATTTAATTTTAAGATTTTCAATCGAATGCATCATTAAAACGTTAATCAAGTAGATATCAAACTTTGCAAACCAAAGGAAAATAAAAATTAAGTATTACTTTGGATCACCGTAATAAACAATGTACAATAAACAACAACACGTAGGAGAAAATATAATAAAAGCTATTACTACAAAAAAAAAAAAAAAGTAAACCTACTTAAGTTCTGTCATTAGAGATTAAAAATCTAAGTTAAGCACTTGAGATAAAAGCAAATGTGTATTCATTCAGTTAATCTTTAAATATTTGAGTTAAAAACAAAAAAAAAAAACAAGAAAAAGATTGTAAGCGCTTACGTTATTAGTAATGCTCAGTGTACTGCTTAACCCTGGACGATTGTGTATTATTTAAGAAGAAGAAGAAGAAGAAAAACTTTTCTTTCAATTCAATTAACTGTTAAGTTAACAAAATTACAAGAAAAGGAAATCGATAAGTTGATGATGTTCGCAATTAACGAAAATTACCGATTGTCTCTTTTGCCTTAAGCATTACAATTTCAAATTTGTGCATTTAATGTTGTCTTAATATAAAATATATATATAAAAAAAAAGTTTAAATTACCAAAAAAAAAAAAAAAAAAAGAAGCAAAATAAACTTGGGAACAATAGCGAAAATTTTTGTTAACTTGTCTCAAATGATCTCTTAATTGATGTTTTTAAACTCACTATTGTTACTTTAGATTGGAAAAAGGTTTTTTTCTACCATTCACTTTACACATCGAATCGAATACTACATGATTTCCTTAAGTATATTAGATGAAAGGCATAAAGAAAGTAAAGAAATTAATAAGAGAGAGAGAGAGTATCGTTCGTTTCATCTTTAGTTGTGTGACATTCACGATATCTATGATATTCTATAGATAAGCAGAAGCTAACAAATGAAGCGCAGCTATACCTATACATACGTTTGGACCTTTTTGCCCGAAAATGAAATGTTCTCGTTCAAAAACTTGTCAATCTTTTTTCGTATTTTTTTTTTTTTTTTTAATTCAATTTTGTACCAATTACTCTACACTGCAAGTCGTATCGTTTTGCAGACAAGTCTTCAAGTGGAGTTAGGATTGCATGGTGAAAGAGTGACTCTAGAGCGTTGCAATTTTTTTTATGTTTTTTAAAAATCGTTTTTTTTTTTCTTTTCCAATTACCTAAAAATGTATGCTTATTAACTTCCTTGAATATTACGCTTCTAATAGATTTTCTTTCATCTAATAAAAATTAAAGAAAGGTACGGCCTTTTTAGTCTGTTTTACAATACGAAAATATATGATAGATGGAAAGATACCCGCAAGAAAATCCCAAGGGCTCTAAACATGGAAGCTCTGATAGAGCCGAGATACATTTTCTTTCATCTAATAAAAATTAAGAAAGGTACGGCCTTTTTAGTCCGTTTTACAATACGAAAATATATGATAGATGGAAAGATATCCTCATGGAAGCTCTGGTAGAGCCGAGATAAGAATGTATCCGTCATACTAAACCACCATGTTCTAGTAAAGTCTATCTATAGTTTGACCCCTCAACACAATAATAGCTAATTTCTTGCTATTCTTTACCTGTTTCTAAAAAGGTTTCTTTGTATCTATAGCACCAATGCTATGGACTTTTATCTCGATTACTATATTTATTGGAGAATCATTGGTTCTTCGGTTATTATTAGCCCAATCTGCTTTATTGCCTTTATCTTTTTTGTTTTTTTTTTGGGTAGGGGATCACACTCTCTATTTTCATTGCGTCATTGTCTTTAGACGTAACGAATATCATTTTAGATTCGTAAGCTATCGTTTAGTGATTATATGACAAACAATCATGATCTCGTCATCTCAATCCTGGTGCATTTTTTTTTTTGTATAGAAATTTCCAGTTTTACTAATTGTGCAATTTAATCCAAAAAAAAAAAAAATAAAAAATAAAAAAATCTAGTAGCAATAAATATAAAAACCGTTTAAAAAATCGGTATGCAATGAAACAAAATGCTAATCGGCTAATTGCCAATGCGAAAAAATGCAAAAAGTTATACAATTTTTATTCATATGCCTAAAGTGATGTCTATCTAAGCTTCACTTTAAAATGAACATAATTTTTTCTTTTGTTTTTTTTTTTTCTTTTCTTTCATTAATCATTAAAGTTTGAGTGAGAACTGAATGAACATAATTGCTGCTGAATTTTATATAAAACTAAATTTTTGAAAGTACAATACAATATAGAAGAGCAAAGAGCTCAAATACCTATTATGTTAGGTGAGGAGAGCACATAAAAAAACAAAAAAATTATGCTAACTGGGGGACGAGGGAAAAGGATGGTTGGCAATAGCACTAAAAACAGAAAACATTAAAAAAAAAAAAAAATCTTGGCAAATATTTAATAACCAGTCTACAGTCAATACGTTGGTTAACTTGTAAGCATGTGTAAGCTGCTCCAAGCCACTAGTTTCGGTTTTAGTTTTAGTTTTATTTATTTATTTATTTATTTATTTTATTTCTAAAGTTGTTTTGTTGTTGCTATTGTTTGTTAAAAATTATTGTGGCAATGGTTGCATATGCTGCTATACATTTTGCAATAACTGCAATAGCAACAAAAAAACAACAACAACAAAAACAATAACAACAATTTCGTAGCAGTTAACTTGCTATTTATGTATAGATTGGTATATAGTGATCTAGTTTACTAGTTATATGTGCACAGTATAATAAAAATAATATTGAGATGTAAATAAATTTAGAATAAATATAAAAGTTAAAAAAGAAATACAAAAATAAACAATACGTTTCAAGCACATAAAGATAAACATAAAATTAAAATTAAAGTATTACAGCGATCATGAACGGTGGGCGCGCTTTCGGTATATGCGTCTAATAAACCCTTTGCTGAAGTAAAACTAAAGATTAATATTTTGAAAATTCTAAAGATGTTGAAAAAATTTCTAGGAATTATCCATACAGCTTATTAGACCAGGAACTAAGTCATTAGCTATAGTCGACAAACAATTAATTGGAAAGTAAGCAGTAGAGTACAACTTAACATAGAACAGTGACTATGTTATAAACTAATTGGTTTTTATACCCATATTGACATACCCACCCATTGCGCCCATAAGGAAGCTTCAAACACCCTACAAAATGCATACATATTACACATCTGTATTAATATTCCGAATCGATTTAAGCACATCGGTCTCTCCGTCTGTGTAATGTAAACAGTCTTCCGATCATAAAAATGAATATATGAAGTTCGAGTTTGATATTGGCAGCTGATGAAGATGGATTCGAAAGGGCAATTGACACGCCTTTATTTTAATATAAAGTGAAAATATCTTTTTTTTTTTGCTCATTGCAACAGACCAAAAATAATTATTTGTAACTTTTTGTTTCCAAAAACAAATTTGGAAAAAATCAGCCACGCCCAATCAGTATTATAAATCAATATCGAAAATTAATTTGCTTTTGTTTTTTGTTAGCTTTTTTAAAGCGTTGAGCAGGCAAGAGGTGTAAGGCAGATGCACTAATAGCCGAATGTAATTTTATTACTTGTGTTACTATTCTTTTATATGTTGTTTTTTTTTTTTTTGTAACATTCAAGAGCTTGAAACTACAAGTTTAGAAAACTGCTGAATTTTGAATTAACTCTTAACTATAACAATTTTCATTGCAACAATTCCAATTGCTTTGTATAGTTGAAACATAGCGCTACTCACTAACAACAAAGCCATCGCTTAGTTAACTTTCTCCTACAACTTTAAGGCTTTCAATGCATAAGTTCTTGTTATCAAATTTCTCAAACTGCATTTTTATTTGCAGTCAATTATTTTATGAGGACCAATTCGAATTTATTATGATGTTAACTCACTAACGTTATTGGTTATAGTCTGACTATATTCTGCATAAAATTGAAAAACTGTGAAAATGATCTAACATCACAAAGACATTGTTGCTTTCCATTCGATTAAATTAATAAAAATGTTATTAACTTGTCTCAATATTCGGGCGAAAATTTTTGACATCATTTCTCTGCGAGAATTAACCCATTTAGACATGTATATATTAACTTAGTTTAAATGACTTATAGAAAACCGACTTGTATCGTTGCTGTAACGAATTTAATCGTGTGTTTTCAATTTGTCGGCGAATGAGTTTATAAAAGGGACTCGCAAATAGTTAGCCGAAAGATCGCAGAGAATGGATTGGAAAAACCCGAAAAATTTGATTTTGACTCGACTCTATCAGTCTTTCTAGACTAATCGAATTACACACAAAGGTTCAATTTTTAAAAAATAAGTTAACCCTTCTTCGAAAACGATGGATATGGTCAAGGAACAGCAATCTTAGTTCATGTTGCTCAGTTTGATACTCCTCATGTGTGGTCAGCTCTGACTGCATGCGATGCCATCTTTCACTTCCCATGTAATTTTTGAAGAGATCAAGAAATCTCTTATTTGTCACGCAACAGACAAATTTTACTCATCATTGCAAATTATACTCACTTTCAAGCACTCGAAAACATTTAATAGATCACTTATAGCATATTTGTGATTGTATGTTTTTCACTCCCATAGGTAGTTAATCGATGCATACAAAGTCTGTAATTGTATTTGCCGATCTGATGCTATATATGCAAGCGAACGAAAAAAATATTTTGAAAGCATATTAAAAGTTTTTCAAACGCCACACGTTCGCTTTGGTTCATTTTGAATCCAACTGTTTGTTAGTTACATTCTAAATCATTTAAGTAATAGACAACAGGTAAGTACCAGTGGATAAAAACATTATATAGCATTAATTACTATTGTGAAGTGAAATGTGTTTTCCATATCGCAATGCTTGCGCATAATGCATTTCGCATTTGGTAAAATCCTCTTAAACTTGTTTTTATTCAATAACAATCACTATATTTATTTATATAAAGAAAAAAACAAAAAAAAAAAAAAAAACAATCATTTTCTAACATTTAGACGAGAGACAAATAATCCACTTTTCATATATTAATAAAAGCGTATAAAAAAATTCTTTATGCTTTACTGTGAAAACAATTTACTAACAAATAAATTGTTGGACTTGATACAGAAATAAATACAAAAAAAAAAAAAAAAAAAGATTAAAAAAAAAACACATTAATTTACCTTGAAACTTAAGGTACAATAATGAATAAAAACATAATAAAAACGTCAAATACCACTATTTGCATGCAAGGCAAACGAATTGTTTTTTTTTTTTTTTTTTGTGCACATAAGTGTGTGCAGTTTGACCACACAAATTAAAATACAATAAGTATAAAATAAAAACAAGTTTTATGCTGTAGATGCCAGTTTATTCATATTACACTATATATCCACAATCCATTTAAACTAATGCAATGGAATTAGCTTGTCACAGAAACCGTTCAAGGTTATTGGCCAATACATGCATTGTTTATCGCCATCTAATGGAATGTTAATGATAGTTGAAATTAATAATTATATCTTAGTTTTTATTGTTAAAAGTTTCAAGTTTTCCATAAGTTTTGATTTTATAAAATCAAAAAAAAAAAAAGAAAAAAGAAATTACATACGGCATAGATCGAATTGATTAAAAACTTTTTTTCTTGACGTTTTTTTTGCTTTTGAATGCGCAAATTTCCATATGATAAGGAAATAATATATGTTTCTTCAAGAAGGTATAACAAGCAGGGATCTCGTCTCGAATCAATATAGTAAAAATATATCAACAAATTTATTAAACTGTTCATCACGGGCGTTGTAAGCTTTTCACAAGTCATCAACTTCGATTCTTCAGGTCTGGGGTGAGGCCATGCAAGAGGGATATCAAGTGAATTAAGCGCTCAACTTAATCTAAAATAACTAAATTGTCGTAGCAACGTCAATGTCCACGTAACATGCGGTAATATGCCTTCGCGTTCAAGCTTTAAGATCATATGGCAACGGAGCAGCATACATAAGGGCTCCATTTTTCAGCATTGTTTGTTCATTGTTTTGAACTTTATGTTCTTGACAAAGTAACCCTAAGAAAGACCCATGTAAGGGGTTAGGTTTTTTCAATAATGTCTTGCTTCACGAAACCTCCTAGGATCAGCATTTCCATGCGAAGAAAACGCTTGACAAATCCCCGAATTTCCCGGCCAATGAGTACAACGGAAAAGAACCAAATATACCGCATAGGCAATAAATCAAGAAGCGCGACTGCCAAATTATTGCAACCCTCCGTCCGATAGACCACACTTTAATTACGATTGCTGTATGGTCGTAGCTAGGGTGAATGCTCAGACGGGCTAACGACAAACTTAGCGGTTAAGCAGACTGACTTCCAGATTACCATTATTTCGTTTCTCTGTCTTCCCCTCATCGCTGCGCTCACTGTCTGGCATCATTGTGCCTGGGTATCTCTCTCTAAAGGGCATAGCTTCTTGGAGAAAAACGAAGAATAACTTTGAACAGATTTCAAGCAGTTTGTCAAAATAGGGTTAGTTGAGGTCTGCTTTGCCTGGTTAGATTAATTAAACAAATATTTAATTTTTCTTTCGTGCTTTTACATATACTTTATATGTAAAAAGGCCTTTTTTTTTACTTTCTCTCTGTTTCAATTTTTTTACGTTTGATAAACGCGTTCGTAGAACAAATATCCATCAGATATGACCAAATCGATTCAAATTATATATACTTAGAAGAGTCCCTGAGGATAAAAATTCGATGAATTTATTGTATACTGACATTGTTGGGTTTGAAATGTTGTACAGTTATACCTTGCGGCAATCGATGCAAGCATATGTGTATGTGTATGTGCGAAAACCGTAGATTTTTCTTTATACATCATAATTAGCTACAAGTTCAAAAAGTTATAATTACTTCAATCAATTTCCGCTTTCTATTACGGGACCTAAGCGTTTCTAATAGCAGCTTTGGAAATAAAAAGCAAATCTCTGTCTCTCTCTCTCTCTCTCTCTGTCTCTCTCTCTCTCTCTCTCTGTCTCTCTCTTAAAAAAGGAAAATCGTCCATTATTTATTGCTACTGCAATCTGCATTTCACATTTGAAATCATTTTTCATTGCTTCAATCAATCTCAATCATATTTTATACTTTTTTTTTTTATTTTTTTTTTCCTTTTATTTTTGCTTTGTTTTCAGCCTGCACATACATAGCAGTTCAGTACCAGTAATCGTTTTATTGCTTTTATTTATAAGCACTGATACATTATGAAAGAAATGCGCAAAATAAACTTCAACAATAACTGGTTAATAAAACCATACCACATATATGTATATATATATATCTATATGTGTATATATATATATATATATGCATATATGTATTCATCATCATATGTAATCTATATAAACAAACGGGATATATCTGTATATA